TCTGTAACCGGACTTCTGGCTGCTCATGCAGCACACCAATAATAAAGAACTGAACTCAATTATTATACCGTTACAGTTCATATTATTATTATCATCATCATTAAGATATCAAGTTCTGGAACATAAATTGTCCTAGGTAGGAACTCCACTTCGTACACCGATCGTCTACTGTTTACGAGAGTCATGTGCAGGGCGTAGCCATACACAATAAATATGGCGGCCCACCTCCAGCCTGTTTTTTTGTGGGTCAAGTCAGCGCCACCTGTGTTCGCGATATTCGGACAAGCGCCTGGCACTGTTGTACGTGAGAAATATGGCGTTCCTAATTTATTCACATAACACGAACCTACAACTGGAACGGAATAATAAAAAAATTCGAATCTATTGAAATTTTCGTTGTATCATTTACATATAACACTACAGGTGACGCAACGTGCAGTAATTGTTTACCTATTTCGGAATTCTGGGTATGTACTGCATATTTGAAACAATAAACAAACTAGATAAATAATCAATCAGTTATCAAACAATCAACTGACTAACCACCTACCTAAATCAGTAACCAGTTACTGAGCATGTATCTAACTAACGAACAAAGTAACCTGCGTAAGCAATTAACCAGTTAGTTAATCGCAACGATAAAAAAGTGTTCATCGCGGGTTGTCTTCCTCCTAGGAAAAACGCGACATGCAGACTGACATTAATGGGACCATAACGTGTTCTTCGCTCTCGCTAGCGCGTGAAGAACACCTGACATATTACTCTGTATATTATTAATTATTCATCATATCAACACATATTTAAAATTGAAGTTACAAAACCACGTTTAATACTGCATACTATTTCTACACGTTGAGCTTTTTTTAAATTAGGTAAAACACCAGCGGAGTTCCATGTAATTAAGTGTTTATAAATTACTGGCAAGAAATGAAATGAAATTCTCCACAACATAGTGAGGACCCCAACATCAAATTTAATCTACATCCGTCGAATTACTAGGATATGTAAGATGTAAATGGACAGACCAGTTTATTTTACACTGCGTAAATAACACGTAAGGACTAGTAAAGTAAAGTAAAGTAAAGTAAAGTTTGTCCCACTATACGCCATGTAGGCGTTTGGGGTGAGTGGAGGTATAGCTCCTCTCTTCCTTGACCTCGGCACTAGACTAGTAACTTATTTTACCCGTTCATTTGCAGGTTGTGAAACTTTTCGTCTTACTACAAAGAAATTAATTTCAAAATAAAGTGCTAGGAGAATATTTGAATCTAACAGGTGCGAAATGATAATAAATTAAGAATATAAAAATAAAGCAACCAGGATGTCTTAAATTTTGGACTTTAGTCCTCGGTGATTAAACTAAGACTGAGGCGGCTTAACACGAACATACCACTGCCAATCCCTCTGATCGTGGGACATCCGGGAAGTAAAGACACTCCCGGTACTCGTGCATTGTATTAATTAGAGAAATAGCAAAGAATCGAACTGAGAAGTTTTAGGTTTCCGATATCAATTAGACACTTTCGGCACTTCTGATCAATAAATTTTTCACTACTGAGTTTTGCGATAGTACCAACCTCTAATGAAGCATGACTTTAAAATCGTTTATAAAAGTCTTAGCAAAGGTGTTATTCCTAATTCTGTGGAGTAACCGAGGTTAGAAACAGATATGAGTCATATAAAAACTCAGGACGTACTAAATGGTCTCCGTGGTGATTCTTGAACTCTGCTAAAACCATATTTTTCTGAAACACCTTACGTAATGTCGATTTATAGAGTTCTTACGTCCGACCTACGCCTTCACGAGGTTGTATTTCGGTGCAGTGACACTTTACTGTTTAATTTTCTAAAATCTTTGCCAAACACAAGTTCAATAAAAGTGACTCGTAACAACTTTTCGATAAATACGAGAATAAATGACTAATGTAATATCATTAGCAGGACCTCTATTACCAACTTTTGTTATAACAGTAGCAAACAGTCAGTAAGGGATTTATTTATAGGTGAATAACTATATTTTACTTAAGCAGACAAGACAAGAACAGCGTGATGTACGCAACACTGACGATTAGCCTCTTTCAAGGACAGAAATCCTAAGAGAGAAGAAAATATTCCTAAAACAGGAAACCGCAGGGTGTTAGAAGTAAGCAGAGCTAGTAGCAAGTTTCTGGGTACTGGAATTTGAGTCGCGTTGCTAAGTGATGTGCGAACATCCGTCAAGTGCACAAGCGCTGACGGCTGACAACCGCACAAACACACAGACTCGGCTAAAAGTTACAATTATTCTTCTGAGACGCACTTTGTCAACTCACAGCTGAAGGAATTCTGCAATAGAAACGTACACTCCTTTAGCAATCTCCGTGGTAACTCCATAAGAAACATAAGCCGTAATCATATGTTCCCAAGTATACAGAGTGTCCCATAAAATTAACCGTTATACATCGGCAATAAAGTTGTTAGACTAAGTTATCTGCACCTGCAGTAATTTACATGCAGGGTCCAATGGTGATCTTCCGCTTGAATTGTGTTGGGTTCTAATACGACTTAGGTATATATTTATTTCAGTAGGCCTATACAAAATAGCCTATTTTTAACGACCCGATTTATGAATGTCTTGCTGTACGATTGTATTTCTGACATTTTCAACAACGATGTCTATATAATTGCATCACTAAATCAATTTAAGAAAAACTTTCCGACAGGACGACCGTAAACGTATAACTCAGCAAGCTCCTGCACGTCATTGAGGTCTTCTGTGTGACTTAAACTTAAAAATATTAAAGACTGTTCAGTTCAACACATTGTAAAATTCAATTAATATATTTTATTAAATATAAATAAGAATTAAAAGTCTGGGTCTATGTATCGTGTATGAAGGTGCATACGGTGATGAGCTACAGCCGTGCGCTACATGAACATAAGTGGCCCTATAGTTCTGGTCTGGGCATACTGGTGGCAAAGATGATGTTCAACATGCCCCTATCAAACTCTGAACCCTGGTCAACCAGTCCACAGAAACTCATCTTAATGATTCAGCTATCCTGGTCCACACATGAAAGAGAAGTTATTAAAAATAGGAAACAATACTACTTGGTACCAACAACAACAAAATAAATTAATATATCAGAATGTTAATAGGCCTACCTCCACTGCATTTTTCTCTGACTGTCAAATGCCTTTTCCAAATTGATTACGGCTTGGTGGTATTTCTAAATTAAATTTTACCCCCTGTAAATTAATTAGTGATGGTTGGGGTCTCGAAGACAAGAAGTGATTGGCAATGAAAGGAGGCACCAAGTCCAAGTTACTTTAGGACTAATATTCATCCGTTATATCGTGGTTTCGAGCCCCTTGTGGGGCACATGACCAGATTTTACAGTCAGCCTTAATATTTACAGTTTTTGTCGTCATCAAGCGCCCTCTGAGGTGAGAGGTATTGTCCGTCATTTGTAGAAAGAAGTGGACATTTCCTTTCACTCCGGTTCTGAGGCCTATTCAGACTCCTGTCGAATAGATGCTGTGGGCTTTTTCCATGGGGATGGAGGGTGTAAAAGCTGCCGGAACGAGATACATGTCACTATCCTCCACCATGGGGCAAAACCTAAGTAGAAACATCTTTACTTTCACGCCTCTATTCACCTTTATGGTCTGATGCCTAGTCACAGAGACAACTGTAACCTCAGAAGACAGCGGTAGAATTGAGAAGGAAGAAAATAATAAACGCGTTGAAGATTTCTGTCTTCTGGGTTGTTGCGCCGTGTAGTATGGCCGATGTTAACCAACGTTTCAGAGGTCATACTGCCTCCGTCATCAGGGCGATTCATCGACCAGGCTACACAGCGCAAGAAACCAGAAGACGGAAATCTTCATACTCACCGCTGTGAAAACCTCAAATCTTACAATAAAGGCGTTCCTTACAAACTCATTTCTGAGGTGAGAAAAATTGTAGTTTATCAGAACAATGAGAGAAGTTGTAAGTGAAATGTCTTACGGCGCGTTATAGCGAGGGTTTGCTGCCAAATAATTGCAGAGTCTGGACCAGACTGCAGCATCAGCTCGGGCAACCGGCCGTGCGGAAAGGATTGACGACCCGTCCGAAGAGCAGGGCTGGGTGCAACAGCGAGGCAAGGCGAGAAACGTTTCTGTACTACGCTATTTAATGGCGCTGCTTCTTCAGGCCAACATCTGATTCTTTGGTTATTTAACTACAACGCTTTTTTCGTAGATTATTTAATCCGTAATTTTAAAGCATACTATTTACCTGCTGAAAGAAAACAAAAGAAAAGACTCATAGTCCTAAAGACCTTTGAAACGTTGGTAAACGTCTACCAGACTACACGGCTCTACAACCCAGAAGACAGCCATCTTCAAAAGAAAAGTAGCCAGTTACAGAAAAATAACTTACTCGGCCGTGTTCAGTATATAAACCTGTGTATACGTTTGAATATGCACACACTCACACATACAACATTAAGCTAACTAGAATTTTTGGACCACCGTAGGTGGTCAACATACCACTGTTTCTCTATTAATTTTATGGTTTATTCAACAACGCTGTCAGTACCTCACACTATATAGAAATATGATGACATGATTAATAAATTAGACAGGGTGTGGAATAAAGCGGTCGTGGCCTAATTTAAGGTTTTATCCCAGCATTTGCCTGAAAGAACTTGGAGAAACACAAGAAAAGCCGCAGTTAGGATAACCAGTCTCCGAGTCACATCTGAAACCGGAACCTGAACATGAAAGTTTTAACTATTCGGCGGCAACGATGTTCGGCTCAGTAGTTCATAAACGCTTCCTAGTCCTTTCGGGGCTTAATGAGTTGTTGGTTACCAAAACATAGGGCTATAAAGCAGCTGTGTGTAAAATATTACAGAATTCCTATAATATCAGCTTCTGATCTAAAATCATGTGAACGCATGATTATCATTAGAATCAGGACCAGATATGTGCTAGTCGACGACTCGGTGGCTCTGTATACTGATTTTACGTACCTGTTAGATGTCACATACCGTCGGATGGCACGGGTAATAGTCACGAATAGAAAATATCGTAGGATTTTAAGGACGATCTTGGTTTCTTTCAAAGTGCTGACACAGGACTCCTGTAGACATTGAGTGAATCCAGAATAAACCTGAGTAGCCTTAAGAGTTCAGTAGATAAAACCGAAATGGTAATGTCAGCCCGAAAGCAGTACACGTATTTTCAACGCGTTTATTGTGATTTTGTATATACCGTTGAACTTAGCTTTCATTTACTGCAGATATAAATGAACTCTTTTGAAGCTAATAATACGTGAAAAATATTTTTGTAACAGAACTTCATAATTCAACCTTATGACGGGATTATCAGCCTTCCAAGGATTCCTAACAAATGTCGAAGTGAATTCATAGTCTCAGAAGTGTTTTTGAAATGGAATAGGTCATAAGCCCTAATCCGTAAAAGTTTAAGAAGACGAAGAAATTTATACTTGGTACTTTTATTGTATTGATATAATTAAATCAATAAGATTGCAATAAACTGGAAATTCAGTATGCATCTGCGTGACAAAATAATTCACAAGTTTCATCTACGACCAAATCGATGGCGATTAATACGACATCGGGCCCTACAGAACCAGTCTGTGAACACATGGTGATCCTGATAGGGGGGCGTAGTTTCTGTTTGTCCCTTTTCGCTCGAACGATTTTTCAGCTCCTAGTGCATTTAACGAATTTCGACTGAATTGAATTTTGTCTGAACTAAACGTTGTCGGCGAATTCAGTTTTAGTTCATATCATTCAATTATTCATCTTACCTAACTATTTTCTACACTTTTTAAACATCTTTAAATACTCTAGTATGTATTTAACCAAATAAATGTATTGGAAAAGAGCTATTTATACCTCTATTAACTATATAAATAACTTATGCACCTAATAAAAATTAATTCTAATAACAACAGATTTGTATATGTAATACATTAGCACGAATATTAAATCGCAAGTGCTACAACTGGACCTTGAGCAGATCAAAAAGGGAAACGAAATCATTTCATGAGGTGTGAAGATCTATTTCTTCTGGGTTGTTACGCCGTGTAGTATGGTAGATGTTTACTAAAGTTTCAGCGATTCGTCGCCCTTATTACGGAGACAGTGTGACCTCTGAAACTTTAGTAAATATCTACCATACTACACGGCGTAACAACCCAGAAGAAAGAAATCTTCATACCTCATGAATTGCTCAAATCTTCCTTTTCATGAGGTAGTTTCAACATATTCCACTCCTGCTCGCAACTTTCTTAGCATGCATCAAGCCTAAAGAAGCTTATGTGACAGAGTAGAAACCTGTTCTGACAGTTGTACTTCGGACCTGGAGCACTTCTGGACGCGTTTACACCGCTGAAAGGCAGATACAACAAAAGAATTGTGTTTCTGCAGGGTCAGTGTGAAGGGGGGATGCATTCATGTCCAGATAACAAAACGTAGAAAAAGTGAGTTAAAATAAAGCTCCATGCATTCAGAGCTGAACTTTGGGTGCAGATCAGTGTTTCTCTCTCACGCTTCGGCCGTCTTACCACGAATGCCAACTTCATATACCTAAACTGTGTTGTGTAAATGTGTTATTGATATCAGTAATTCAATAAAGGAAGTCATGGAAACATACGGAGCAGCAAGACTTGTCAGAATTCTAGTTCTTATTTTCAGTCCTTTGAACGAAGTGAATGCCGTCTGTTGGCGGGCATTTCTGAACACAGTAATTAGCTTTTGGGTTCCATAAAATGTGGTAAATTTCTTGATTAGCTGAGCACAAGCCTACTATTAGCTTTTTAAGAAGGATTATGCTCTTTTTCCACGGAGTTCGTTAGTTAAGTAGTAATAAAAGGTAGAGACTGATTTTCTTTCACATTCCTCATAAGCCTTTACGATGTATTACGCCTAGGAACACTTGTTTTTGACGTAAATACGTCTATAAGGGTCATTCGGCAAAAAAGTGTAACGAAAAAGGAAACGTGTTTACTCGGCATTGTTGTTACCTAGGAAACGTCATCTGTTTACTCGGCATTATTGTTACCTAGGAAACGTTTACTTTACATTACATTACATTCAGCTACCACAGACCCATCTTAAGCGTAACTAATTCAAGTTGATTAAGCAATGTCTTAATCAAACTTTACTCAATTGCAAAGCATGTATAAAGGAAATATTTAGAATAAAGTCAATATATAAACTTCCTTTCCGTATAGACGTATTTACGTCAAATTTTTAGGAACCATGGTTCCACTGACAACTTTCTAAGTCCGACTATTGATGACATTTAGCCCACTTTGTTCACGAATCTCATGAAGTGAACGCAAACGCAGGCTGAAAATGAATCTACAAAATTCGTGTCTCCTAATGGCGATCATCCGGAAGAACTTCGCTTAATCACGATGTCTGCTTTATTGCATAACAATATTATTGCAAATGGCGGATAGTTTTGATAAGTGGCGTTCAACAAGTTTGTTACAACCGTCAGCTCTTCGTGAACAAGGCTTTACATTTGCAGCAACAGCTGCCCTGTCCAAAATGAGCGTTGTGTCGATGTCACATACAACACGCTTCACTCGCGAAGCAATCCAATAGCTACATGACGATTCCACCCAACAGCCTCTACACGCTTCTTAATAGGGTCCGGAGAAACATACAGACTTCTATAGAAATTCCACCACAAGGGGGAAACATTTCCCGAGAAATGCGCCTTTAAAGATTTCGTTTGATTTCTTCAACGACGCACACTTACATTGTTGCGAGGCGAGTGGCGTCGACTGCAGGAAAGTATTGTACCGTCTGACATCCTGACCGCCATATTGTAATTTGCTATACACTTCCGATATTTAATTTGTACGGAATCCGTTCACAAGTATTTTAGTAAAGTAAAGTGCGCTAACTGACAGTCGTACCCAGTGGCGAGGTTTGGTACTAGAGACGGTGAAACTTCGGGTTCTGCTACAGTCTTAGGTTACTACCCCCAAGAAGCAGCATTTTGTGACATTTCAGATTTACACAGCAGGTTTGTTGCGCCGTTGAGACTCATTGTCTTGATAACGAAGGCAGTAAGAACCTCTGAAAAGCTAATAAATTTCTATAACACTAAACAGCACATATCAGAAGACAGTCATCTGTAGTTTTGTAGTTTAAGTCCAAAACATGACAGTCGTATATTAATGCATTATTCTTTTGTTGGGAAAACGTCTGTCAGCGTTAACTAAACCCTGGCTGAGGGGCACGATGGTACAAACTTTATTGATTAATAAACGATCTTACCGACCTTGTTTCAGATGCTGCAGCGTTGAATTAGGGACACGGCGATCGTAAAATATGAGTGGATGGGAATTTTGAAGGACGTAGTTTTATCCTGGAATTGACCTGGAGGAATCGAAAAAAACGAAAATCTCAGTCAATATCCGGGAACCAGGCCGAGACCCGAACTGAGTAGCCAACCTGCCACTACAAAGACCTACATTCTTAAGCGTTAGTCTGAGGCGATGGTATATGAGGACAATGCAGAGACTGAATCTTCAGTTTCTTCGAATGTTTTGTTACTCAGTCCAGCACGACAACATTGACACACACACACTCGAAAACATCAAGAATCTTTTGTTCCTTCATTCTGTATTTCTCTCATTTCTCCTTCATCCCATGCCTTTTCCCATACTTTCATTTCCGAACGTGACTGTCTAATGTCTACAGTCAAACCGTAACTGGTTCTTATTCGGTTAATGCACAGCATTCATTGCTGAAGGGCTATATTTCAGAGCTATGCACCTGAAAGAAGAGCCGCACAAGAGACTTTAACGGATCGAGCGGTACTGCGTAACATGACAGTCTGAAGGCATTGAACATAATGAACTCTGTAAAATGACTCCGCACTATTCGATTCAACATTAATCAATTATACTTAAGATTATAATTAGGTTTCAGGAGTTGCTGCTTCGTGGAACATCACCACGTTTCTCCAGACTGTTCACTGATGTTTGGCTAATTCATTAGGCCTAATTATTTATTCACTGGATTACACCTAACGAACTCACTAAAAAAATTTGCATCCTGCGTAAAAAAGGAGGTGAGCTGAAGACTTAAATGAATGGTAGCCATCTAATTTTGTCAAGGCAACGTATTTATTTCAGTTCATATTGTTTCAAAACTTTGAAAACCGCGTCTCTGAGTAACACTGTGTTATAGTAAATTACAGTAAAATGGACTAATACCAGGGCAGGTTATCTAAATAACGGGGGAAAGAAGTTGCTATGTTGAATTATGCATAAGAACTGTCCAGTATACATGTAATTTTAAATCGATTTTATTTATACGAATATTCTCGTCGCCATTTCTCTTAGCCTCACTACCTTGCCTACTGTACAAGACGATTGATGTCAACTGTCAACCTCAAAATTTTTGTCATATTTGAATTACAGTTCATGAATATCTTAACCGTGTGCAGTCAGATACAGGTCAGCCAGTCGAAAACCAAAGATTAATGACTGTAAATAACACGAGGTATTCAATATAGAATCAAGAATACAAAAGCATAAACATTGGAGACACCGGGAAGGTATAACAGAAGAAAAATGTTACATAATATTATTTCGGTGTAAACAAAAAGCACACAATTTAATAATAAAGACTTCGTGTGTTTTTATTAAATATAAACGCGTAAAGGACAAGTAGAATTTCTACGAAGAATTCTTAAACATGCTTTCCTTTTAAATGTTTGTATGTCTGAGTTCATAATTATACCATCTTGTGATAAATTTCTGCATATAAATGTAATTATTCCAAGTGCATTAATTTGTTAGTTACAAAAACGGAAGTTTCAGATACCAGCGATATTTTTAATTTTTGCAAAAATAAATTTCATGCACAATTTATACGTTTACTTAAAATTCATCTCCATACAAAATTTTACTTACCCAGTTCCAATGATTAGTCTTTTTGTAACAAACAGGGACATAAACCCAGACTTCACATGTCCTGTGTGGTTTTGAAACACAACGTGTATTTTGTGAGTCTTTGCAACTTTTATTAGAGACTATCCTTTGGTTAATTCTGGAGCCCTCATACGCTCAAAAATTTATTAACCCCATTGTGTAATGTCGACTTTAAAAAAAATTAAATTGTGCTTAAAGCTATAACTATAATAACATTCATAAGAATCTATTAAAGCAATCAAGATGATGGTAACTTAAAGGTTCATTTAGGCATTTAATTAAATCGTTTTTCTAATGTACCAAACTAAACTAAACTATGCCTCAACAAAATGTATAAATTTCAAGTTCTCGCGGAGGCGAATATGGTTGTTGCTTGTGTAGTCCGCTAGAAGTTTGCAGCTGATTATGGAGGCAGCAAGCACCTCTGAAATAGCAGTAAGCTTCTGCCTGACTACACGGCGCAACAACCCAGAAGACAGCCAGCTCAAAAATGTTGTTAAGGTTCAATGTGCCAAGTTTCTTTCAAACTGGTCCTATAGCTTGGACGCTGTTACTTGCAGGCAGATTGGCAGCCAAATAAACATGACTAAACTAATAGAAGATTTTAGAAATTCTTTTCAATACACGTTTAAGAAAAACAAAAGAATGCCTATGGTCTCATCTTTGTAATTAACGACAGAGGCTTTCTTTACTGCATTGAAGTATTTTCCTGTATTAAATTAACCAAATTTTCTGTAGTACACCCCCATGTGGGATCGAAGCATGAACTGCTCTGCTTGCTGAGGGATGCTGTTTCTGGGGCACCAACATGTAAATCTTGTCGCAACTAAAGTGCTGAAGCAGAGTGTATAAATCAGCTCAGAGTTTTGTTAATTTCCACTCCTCTTCAACTGCGTACTACCATAATAAGGCTGGATGTATAATTTAACCTACAACATCTTGTAACAGAGGTTTAAAACCTCTGCCCCTCGACTTACCCAAAACTTTCAGTCCTTACATGGGCATTTTATAAAAACGATCTTGTAATTTAACCCCTTTCGTGACTTTTACTAGACATAAATCAGGTGGTTTAAGGGGGAATGAGGAGAAATTATGATACGATGGGTATGAAGACGGAGCGCACAATAAAGATTCGCTTCACGTAATAACTTGAAGCTTTTATGTCGGGGCGGAAGCTACATATTGCAGTGCGTACATCAAAAATTTTCAGTGTATTCATAGCGTCGGCACCATGGCGCGCAGAACACATTAGCATTCCAAAGAATTTGGGAGTAATTACACCAAGAGGCGTGAAATTTGTAAATTAAATGTAGCTGTTGATAGAAATAACAAATGCAACAAAACATTTTCTGGAGAAACTGGCGCAAAATAACTGAGAATTTCAGGATTAAAGTGTAATATTAAAGTGGATCTTCTAAAACACCATCTAAAC